TTTTTTTTTTTGAGACACTCTCACTCTATCACCCTGGGTAGAGTACCATGGTATCATAGCAACCTCAAACCCCTGGACTCAAGTGATCCTCTTCCCTCAGCCTTCCCAGTAGCTGGGACTACAGGCATCCACCATGAGGGCCAGCTGGTTTTTCTATTTTTATTAGAGATGGGGGCTTGCTTATTGCTCAGGCTGGTCTCAAACGCCTGAGCTCAAGCAATCCACCTGCTTCAGCTTCCCAGAGTGCTAGGATTACAGGTGTGAGCCACCAGGCCCAGCCCAAGGAAATGTTTTAATTTCTACACGGGAGCGATGTGGTCACATACGTGTTTTGAAAAGCTAAAGGGTAGATTTTAGGAGGAGAGAATATTAGAGGTCGAAGGCAAGAGGCTGTAGCAACAAGGTGTCTTGGAAAGAGAAAAAGCCTGCCCTGTGGCAAAACAGTAACAGTGAAGGAAATTCAGGCATTTAAAAAGGAGGGAGCAGGCAGCAGAAGAGCCCTGGTGCTCGTTTGAACGTGGAAGGTGCAGGATGAGAAAGAGGAGCCCTAAATTAGGACTCCAGATTTGGTCCACAAGGTAAGTTTTCTTCCTGAAGTGATCTCCACCCCTCCCTCCCTCCATTCTGCCACAACAAAAGCACCATCACAGCACACTTCCTTTTAAAGTTTTATTAATGCTTAATGGAACAATATTTTATCTCTTTTATTAACCTGAGTACAAAAATACAGTTGCTGACTTGACAAAATGGCTACACCTAGCGCTGGAAGATTTGATTTCTCCAACGGTGAGGAGGGAAAGCATGCTTCCAGCTGGAGCTGTGTCCACGCACACGCCGCTCCCGCACACACGTGCGTGCAGACAGGGAGGCCCAGGCAGAGAAAAGGAAGGAGGTTGCAGGGATTTGGGAAGAAGCCCACAATTATTCCCAGGAGAAAAAAAAAAAAAAAGGCTGGTCTCCTACATAGGGGGCAGAATTACTGATTTACATTTAGGATTTATTGTTAAAAAGAAAATTGATAAGCTATTTCTGCACTTTTAACATTGTAGAAAAGATGCCACTGGTCTCCTTTCACCACTAAGGTGAATAAAGTGAGCGGAAGTGGGAAAAGACTCAGATACTCAACGGTGAGGAGTAAACCTCCAGGTGGCTCAAGTTTTGTGACAAAAGATTTCATTCTTTACATTCAATGACAAAGTGACATTTAGGCGAGAGGGAGCAGGAGAAGAGAGTCTGCCACAGTCGGCTAAATCCACACACACGCAGAGCAGCTTTTGGTAGCAGAGCTCTCCCACAGTGAGCGTGCTCCTCCCGGGGTAGACAGGAGCAAGGTTTCCTGGTCGGTTCAAACTGTCCTGGGTGATCCCTCGATATCCCCTCCCCTGCTGTTTTCCTTCCAGAACTCTAACTTTGATGAAGGAAGGGATACATTCACATTACAGCTCATGTTCAAGATGTTTGTCTCTGAAGGCACCACCCGTCAGCCGCTCCTGAGCTTCCTTCATCCCCTGAACAACTGTGAAATAAAAGTTAGGGGTGGGGGAAATATGAAGCACATCTTTAATATTTGATGCCTGCCAACCAATGTAGACTTTAAAATGTTTTAGGAGATATATGAGGAAGTACAAAATCCAGTTCTTGATCTTGGCCCTGGGGAAAATCATTCATCTCTTTGAATTTGTTTTGTTTATAAAATGAGATCATGTATCTTACTCAACACTGGATTGTTGTAAAAATTAAATGAGGGAATGGATAATAAAAGTGCTTTATCAACTCTGAAGCCCTACAAAAATGTTAGCAGCTGCTTTGGCTTACCCTCTCCCAGCCATCAACTGTGATCAACTGTGGATGCTCATTTGACACTAAGGAAGAGCAAACACTTTCCTATCCTCCCATTATATCTTTAGGATGAATGTTGCCTTTATTTCACTTCCTGTGGAGGTTATGGATTACAATGATCTGTGTGTCCTGGGAGTGGTGATGGTCTCCACCAAAGGAGGTGGTCATCTCCAGTACCAACTAAACTATCCACGGAAGAAGCCAAGTTCTTAGGCCAAAAAAAAAAAGGAGAAACCTGGAAGGAGGGCTTAGATAGAACTGGAGATGAAATTCTTGTCTATCTTGGGGTGTCCCTCATATGGATTCGGACTTCAAGAAGGGCAGCTACTTTGGTATAGGTTCCTGAGAGAAGGTAGTACAACAGCACTCCTACCAGGAGCAGGCCAGGAGCTGGATTGAGCCAGTGTCACTAAATACTGAAAAGCACATGGATAAGCCCGAAAGAGCCAGATCACGTAGTCTGCTACTTCCCTAGCATTTTGCCTGTGCCTTTAGTAAAGCCATATTTGAATGTTCTAGTTTCATGTCAGCTGAGCTATGGGAGATTTGGGGGTCTTGTGTTCACAGTTATACCAGTGTGGAGATGGCACTGGTAACTTAGATGACGTTCTAAAGGGAAGATGAATCTCGGGGTACAAGAACTGAGGGCCTACAGCCCAGCTGTCCTTCTCCATGTGGAAAATTGCCCTCGAATATCAGACTCCACCGATTTGCATTTGGTTAAGGAACGTGACATTCTTTTTACCCAGGGGAAAGAGGCAGTAACACTTCCAGACCTCTTTCCCCTCCCTATTCTGTGAATGAGAGTTCCAAGGACTCAAAACAAAGTGATCAACAACCTGGCAACACGGCAATAGAGGACACATGGCAACTTAGCAAACGGGGGGAACAAGGAAGGAAAACAGAGACAATACGTGGCATGTACTCCCGGATGTGGCATGAATTCCAACCCACGCCTCCAGAGTGACTGTGCACAAAGATCAGAAAACAAAAAGCATGACTGGCGTGGCTTCAGCCTCACCTGTCTGTGCTCATGCTCTTCTCTCTGCCGGGAACATGCTTTCCCCACTCTACTACTGACTAGGTCTCATTTATCATTCCTCTAGCAAGCTTTCTAGACTCTCTGTGTTGGGCTATATCCTCCTTCCTTCCTACTTCCACTGCCTGAAATGTCCTCCTTCTCTCTTGCAGAGACTACTTCTTATTCTTTTAGGTCCAATTAAAGTTCAGTATCTATGAAACCTGTGAGAACTGTTCAGCTAACAATATTCTCCCTTCCTCTGAACTCTTATAGGAAGAATAGTAGTAGTGCAGCAGAATAAGTTTGGACTCAAATCCTGGCTCTGTAGCTTACTAACTGTGAGACCACGGGCAAGCAACTCTCTGTGAGCCTCAGTTCTTCAGTGTTTCCTGTGGGTCAGTCAGCTCTTCTGGTGGACTGTAAGTGGCTAGAGGAAAGGGCTCACTTTTTATCTTTCTCCTATATCTTCTATAGGATCTAGCCAAAACTAGACAGGGAGGAATGGCCCAGCTAGCATGTGGTAGTTTCCTACCACAGACCTCGAGAGCTGTCCATCCTAGTCAAATCTAGCAGCAATCCGCCCTCCTTTCTCTCAGCATCACTGTACCTTGCTCAGCACTGACGTAGAAATACTTGTAGCTGGGATTTCCACTCTCGTTGATGATTTCAGGATGCACCTTGCCATTGGGATCTGTTATAGACAAAACGAGACATCTGCAGTAATTACGACAGACAGGTACTTCAGACACTGTATGTATGGTACCTAGGCCCTGTTTGCAGTCTATTATCTTACCCCCCTACTTCTTGCATTTCTGCTTCCTTTCTGTTGGATAATGCTGGGATCATACTTTTTTATTTATAGCCACCATAAGTCTAGCAGAATACTGAGTGAAGATTCGGTGGTCATTAAGTATCTTATACAACTGTTTGTGGAAAGACATTTGTCTGGTTCTACTATTCCACTGTCTCAGCTGTACTGTAGTGACGGGGGTGGAATTGCAGCTGACTCTGTCCCTGTAGGGCCTAGCACAGTGCCTGACCCATGGCTGATGCTCAAATGATTGCTAACTGGATCAATAGGTGATCAAGTTCTCAACATTGCTCACAAAAGTAGTTAGTTACTGAGAAGAGTTTTCCTTCAAACTTGTAATTCTGGCATCCACAACTCCACTCCTTCTTGAAATTGGTTTTTGTTTCTTTTTGGTGTTGGCCATCCCAGTAGTTTCACCAGGTGGAATCAGGGCCTTGATTCTTGTCTCTCTCTATCCATATCATGGATCCCCAGATTAAGATCTTATGCCTTACCCAGGAAAAGAATTCGTGGAATATAACCCCCATCAGGGCTGAAATCGTCATCCTTGGGTTCCTCTTCATCCTATTAAATAAATGTAAACCTTAAGTCAGATCATGTCCTCCCTTTCCTCAAAACCTTTCAGTAGCTTCCCCTCTCACTCCGAGCAAATCTCCAAGTCCTTGCAGCGGCCTCCAAGACCCTACATGTGCCACACAGGCACATCTCTAACTTCACATCTCAGGCTTTGGGACTCGCTCTTACTCTCTGCCTGCACCCACTTTCCCCATTATCCACACACCTTACTCCCTTTTCTGCTTCAGACCTCTACCCAAATGACACTTTTATCTTTTTTTAAAACACAGAGTTTCACTCTGTTGCCCAAGCTAGAGTGCCATGGCATCAGCCTAGCTCACAGCAACCTCAAACTCCTGTGAGCCCTTGGTACAGTGCTGTGGCATCACAGCTCACGGCACCTTAAACTCTTGGGCTTAAGTGATTCTCTTGCCTCAGCCTCCCAAGTAGCTTGGACTACAGGTGCCTGGCTATTTTTTTGTTGCAGTTGTCATTGTTGTTAGGCTGGCCCGGGCTGGGTTTGAAACCACCAGCCTCAGTGCATGTGGCTGGTGCCATAACCACTGTGCTTTTCTTTGTAAGAAATTTCTGGAGTTAGAGAATGCTTGGTAAAGATGTTATTCCTATTTCCTTTGAGTAGAAATGCCAATTTATCACAGAAAGTGGTAAGGAGTTCGCATACATGGGAAATCAACAATTACAATATGAAGTGGTTCCCATTTCAGGGGATAAATGGGGTCACATGTAATGCAACTTTGCGTTGGTGAGGTGTGAACATTTAGGCTACCCAGTGCCTATAAAAACAATTCCATAGGTGTCTCAATGTTAACTGTTAGTGTATGGAAGATTCCAGATCCTATGTTTAAGTAAATATTATGTTTACACAAATTTATGGCTAGAAATATCAGAGTACCCACAAGGGAACATGGCCAGGTCACAGTAACTATTCTTATCACTTATTAGGTTCTGTGAGCTTTTTTTTTGGACTCAGCCATATTTAATGTTTAGGAGAAAAAATAAGAAAAAAGTTAAAATTGCATAATGTTTGCTACATTGCATATTTGTCTCTTTCTAGAAGGAACTTTGTAGCTGCCCCTTGAAAAACAAAAGCAACTTGTTTTTTGGTTTTTTTTTTTTTTTTGAGACAGAGTCTCACTCTGTTGTCCTGGTGTCATAGCTCACAGCAATCTCAAACTCCTGGGCTAAAGTGATCATCTTGCCTCAGCCTCCCAAGTAATTGGGACTATAGGCACCCACTACAACACCCTACTAATTTTTCTATTTTTAGTAGAGACAGTGTCTCACACTTGCTTAGGCTGGTCTCAAACTCCTGAACTCAAGACAGCCACTTGCTCTGAGACAGCCTCTCACAGTGTCAGACATGAGCCCCTGCACCTGGCCTTGTTTCTATTTTTTTCATGAAGCTAGATTTTAACTAGTTGTCAGACTTCAATTGTGACATATTTATGAGAAAAAACAAGCTGGAGAATTTCAGTGGGAAGTAAAAAGAACAGATGGAGTTGCTTTTTACAGACCATGAGTTTTTAACCATTTGTTTTTCAAAAGTCCAGTCTTCAACAAGGACCATCCAGGCTGGACGTGGTGACTCACACCTATAATCCTCACACTCTGGGAGGCTTAGGTGGGAGAATCACTTGAGCTCAGGAGGTCAAAACCAGCCTGAGCAAGAATGAGACCTGTCTCTACTAAAAGTAGAAAAATTAACTGTGTGTTGTGGTGGGCCCCTACATCCCAGCTAGTTAGGAGGCTGAGGTAGGAGTCTGAGATTGTTGTGAGCTAGGCTGATATCTTGGCACTCTAGCCCAGGCCATAGAGCTAGACTCTGTCTCAAAAACAAAAAAACAAACAAGGACCATCCATGAGTGTGTGCTATTCACATTCAGTTCTGAAACACTACTGCCTATTTGGCCATATATTTGGCACAAAACTATTCTTGAGGCATGCCTTGGCAACCAGAGCTTTTATATCTCTCTTGTAGTAGAATGACCCTGAAGCCTGGGATGATGTCAAAGCCACGAGAGGTACAGATCTCTAATGGTGATATAGAAAAACATTCAAAGTCTCACAAGTCACATCATTTGTAAGATCTAGTTGAGGATGTAACATTGTGGATGGAGTTTGGTGGCTCTAGTCTTCCATAAGTAGTCAGATAATTAGGTAGTTAGTAATCTGAAACTAGGCAATACAGACTGTGAAACACACTGACATAGTCACAATAAATGGGAATCAATGAGTCCCACCAGTTAGAGAACCATCCAGTCAGCAGTGTGGACAGGGCCTTGCTGGTCATTAAGAACTCCATCAAGCTGAGAAGACAAACGCAAACATCATCTAGGGAGGTAATCTAATACACTTAGCCTGCTACCAAAGGGGTTCCTTAATGAGTAGTCTTTTTTTTTCTTTTTTTTTTCAATTTTAGAATGTTAGGGATATAGTAGATGTTACCTACTTTGTTTTGGGGCAGACTGAGTCAAAGTTATACTCCTAAGTGTGCCCCTCACTCAGATAGTGTGCACTGTACCCAATTGGTATGAATTTACCCATCCCTTCCCTTTATTCCCCCCTTGCCCGCTGGCTCTGTGATCTTGACAAAAATCACATACCTTCTTTTAACCTTAGACCTTCTCTCTGTAAAATGGGCATAGTACCAATGGCCTACAAATCCTTTCCAATTCTAGGATCTGACATTCTATGACTCAGGATTACAAAACCTGTAGTCTATATGAAGTATAAAAAGGATATCTCATAATAAAATAGAAAGATTGTACATACAAGCCCAGCACAGAGTGGGCGCTCAACTGACTCATATATTGCAAGAAGTTCTGGCCTGCATGTATGACTGTACCTTTAGTCCACACAAAGATATAAAACGTGTCAGAATCATAAACTAAGGATGAAAGGAACGGAAAGTTTAGTCAACATATTAAATCTCTTCTCCCTCTTCTACCCTGATGTCGACGGTGGATGGCTTTCTAAAATATCTAATGCAATCCTTAGTATCAGAGGTCAAGAGAAAAACACATACATACATGTAACCAGCTCTGCTAAATATAATTTTGTAACATTTAAAACAAAATTTATACCATTAATGATGCCAATTCTAAAACAGTAAAGTCTTAATATCATAGCAAAAAAGAGAAACTCTCAATCTTACCTCAAGATTTACCATAACAAAATTATGGGCAAGTTCTGAAATTTCTGTAGACTCTGCAAATTTGGGCTTTAAAGCTAGAGGGGAAAAAAAGATTTTGGAATAGAAGAAAACATCACTGTCGTATCGAAGCCCTAATTAACATGAGCATCACCATTTCTCTTTGGTAGTTCAGGCTGCCTCGATTCACATAACTTTTTTTTTTTTAAATACTTTAAAAAACCTGAATTAGGACACGTGAATTCTCGTCCTGTTTCTGCTACTTATTTGTATACCTACGAGACCTTGGACGACTTACTTCATTTCTCTGAAGCTTTTACCTCATTTATAAAATAAGGATAAAATAAATAAACCATACAAATGTTTTCATAAGTATTACTATTTGCTCTTTATAGTTAATTTCAATAACTTCTATTGAAGTAACAGGCAACACCGTGATACCGTCACAAATATACACACATATATAATTCTACATTAATTATTTACACGAGTTTTGCACTCATTTTCTAACTAGGAATTTTTTAAGTGTAGCATACCAAATGAAAGACAACCTCCTTGAGAAAATGGCACGGTGGTACAGCAGAAAGAACACAAGCGACAGAGTCAGGTAGTCTTCGGTTCTAATTTGGTTCCTACCTCCTCCAGGACAGCCCTAACCACTTCTCATCTCTCTATACATGATTTTGCCTTCCTCCAATATTTATCGTCCACATGACATCTTAGTATTTAATCTCATATTCAACATAATTGTATCTTAATCCTCTCATCTCTACAAATAAAATTATATTTCCTTGGTATTTGTTAAAGCAATCACTAGTACTTACTGGGCCAGAGTCAGTGCTAACATTTGTTAAATATTAATGTTTGACAATACATCTGAGGTTTGAATTTGGATTAAGCACTTGCACTTACCTTTGCAAGCTCCACACCAAGATTTATGAATAATCACCATCAGGGGCAATCCACTTAAAAGCAAAACAAAGAAATTGTAACTTCGAAATCTATTCTTAAAAGAATGTTTATCAAGATTAACGTATGGAGACATTCATGTAGTCCATATGATTTCAACTGGGAAAAACCTCAAGACAACCTAAATGTTCAATAATAATAGATTAGTACCCTAAAATTCTTGGTGAAGTCTGACATTTCTGTAAATCCCACACATGTGGGTTTTAAAGCTCGGGAGAAAAGACTGCAGAATAGAAGAAAACACCAGGCTAGGTATGTCTATAATCCTAGCACCAAGGCAGGTGATGGCCTGAGCTCAGAAGTTTGAGACCAGTCTGAGAAAGACCAAGACCCC